ACTAACACCACAATTCAAACACATCAATTTTTCATAGACCGTCCTTATTCGTGCTCTACAATCAACATTCTTGGTACCAGCAGCTAGGAAATTAAAAGATGAATTGCATTGGGAAAGTCTGCTGTCAGAGACCTCTTCAAAGCACTGAAGAGCAACGATGTCAGCCTGGCGACTAAGGTGCGCCTGACACCAAATTTAACATTCCTGTGAAATAATTGAAAATGTCATAGTCAAAAGCAGCTAGTTTTTAAAATGAATCTTTGTTCTTTAGAACTCTAATGAGATACTTTGCAGCAGATTTTTCCAGAACAGTATGTGGTTTGATTAACTGTTGTTTTTCTGGGTGTTAACCATGGAAGCAAGTAAAATGAAGAGGACTTGAAGCACTTGGTGCAGAAGATCAAAGAATATATACTCTTCACTGTGGATTATATCTCAATATAAAGAAAATGCAAATCTTCACAACTGGGCCAATAAGAAACATCATGCTAGACGGAGAAAATATCGCAGTTGTCAACCACTTAATTTTACTTGAATCCACAATTAATACTCATAGTTACAGCAGTCAAGAAATCAAGACATGTTTCATTGGGGAAATCTGCTGTCAAGGACCTCTCCAAAGTGTTAAAGAGCAAAATGACAATTCATTATTTTTGTTGTTGGTTTTGTTTTTATTTTTCTGGGTATTTTGGGTTTGGGTGGGTTTGGTTTTTTTTTTATGAAGGTTTACAAAGATTGATTTAATTTATTCATTCATGCATACTTCTTCTCTCTCTCTCAACTTCCTTTGTAATGCTTGTCCTGTTCCAGGGAATTAATTTTCATAGATAGTTTCTAATCATTCATTCCTTTCAGATTGTCCTTCCTTTCACTCATGCCAGTGCAGTGCTCATTAGCTAGCTAGCTAGCTATCCTTTTCCTACTTTTCTTTCCTCCACCCCACCTCAATCCTATTATTACAATATTGTGCTTGTGCAGTATTTGTCCTTTGGTTAGCAGATATATTTCACTCCGCATAATATCTCCCAGGCTCATCCATGCTGTGTAGTGTTTTACAAGCTCATTGTTTCTCAACGCATACTGTGACACAAATAGCTACATGTACAACCACGTTTACCACAGCATTATTCAAAATAGCAAAGATATTGGAAACAGCTCAGGCCCCCATAAACAGTAAAATGGACAGAGAAACTATGGTATATTAAGGAAAATATGTCAATGTTAAGACAAATGTGGTTCACCTAATTCAAGTCACTTTTTTTCCCAATTGCTTCATAGGCATTTGAAAGTTGTACAATGAACAAGAATGACTGAAGAACTGATGCCACTGAATGATGGTACTAGAGAAGAATACTGAATATCATATAGACTGACAAAAGAATAAATCTGTCTTCTAAGCAGTGCAACCAAGGTGTTCCTTAAAAATAAGAATGGTAAAACTTCATCTCACATATACTTGGGCCTGTTGTCAAGAGGGACCAGTTCTTGGAAAAAGATCTTGTTCTAGTAAGGGTGGAGAAGTTGGAGGAGGAGAGGAAGACCCTCTAGGAGATGCACTGACACAGTGAATATAATAATGCGTTCGAGCATGTTGTAACAACGGGACAGGACAGAGCAAGACCTAGATCTGTTGTTTATGAGACAGCTGTGAGTCTTAGTTGACTCAAGAGCACCTAATAACACCAATTCACTGAAAGTTACGCAGTTCAAACACATCACAAAGAGCTCCCTCAGAAGACAGGCTTGCCTTCTGCTTTTTCAGACTGAAAATCCTATAGAGCAATTGTACTTTCTGCACACAGGGAATCTTCTTCAGGGGTTGGAACTGAATTGATGACAATCAGTGACAACACTACCACTCTATATAGTAACTCTTCATAGAATTGAAAAATGCCTAGAAAACACCTTGTTTACTATAAAATAGGTTGTTTATTAGGATTGTGCTAATGAATATTAGTCATTGTTGTACAACATTAGCATTGTACAAATAATTAATATTAATCATTAGCAGCATATTAATATTAATAATTGTGCTATTCAATTAATGATGATGCCACGTGACAATGTAAAACTGTCAGCACTTAAAGCAATGAAATTCTAACTATTGTGTCAGCAGGGATTCTTACACTATTCATTTGTTGGTGCTGTGTACCATCAAGGCAGAACTGACTTATAGCTAAGCCACCAGCAGGTTTTCAGAGGCAGTTAATCACATGGGAAGAGATTGTCCATCTTTCTCCTCCGGTGAGTTGGTAGATTTGAACTGCATCCTTTTGGGTTTCCAGCACAACTCCTTACCATTAGGACACCAGAGCTCTCTATTCAATAGTGGATATAATTTGTGTTTTCTGATCTGTTCATATATAATGCAGCATTTCTAATCTTCCATTGAAAGATAATTAAAAACAATATCTACTTAAGCTCATTTCTACATATGCTCTCTTCCTAAAGGGTTCTTACCTACCCTTCTAGTTACTGCTGCTGTTAGAAGGTGTTCTCAAGTCACCTACAGTTCACAACAATCCTATATACAACAGATGTAGACTTGGTTCCACCCTATGCCTGCACAATCCCTCTCATGGCCCCATTGGTAGTCACTGTGTCAATTCACCTTGTTGAGGGTCTTCTCTTTCTCTGACATCCCTGACCTTCACAGCATGATGTTTTCTTTCAAAGACTCATTTCTCCTGACAACAAACTCAAAGTTTGTGAGATGAAGTTTTACCATCCTTGCCTCTAAGGAACAGTTTCTCCAAGACAGACTTGTTTATTAATTTGGTGGTCCGTGGTTATTCCGTATGCTTCTCCAGTACCACAATCCAAGGGTATCTATTGTATTTTAGTTATTCTTATTCACTGTCCAAATTTTACATATACAGGAAGCAATTAGAAAAACAATGGTCAAAATCAGTTCCATCTTAGATTTTAAACTGACACTATTACTCCTTAACACTTTGGAGATGTCCTTGACAAGTGATTTTCAGAATGTAACATGTCTTTGAATCCAGCTTGAGTTTCTGACATTCCCCTGGGCTGTGCTATTCCACTTTGACTTGCCTATGATATTATTGAAAAATTTCCACGTTCTATTCAACCACCATTTTTTTTTTAAAGGGAACAAATAGAAGTCCCTGTCAGCCATTTGGCCTGTTATTTATCTTCAAATTTCTTGGCATAAACCAATGAATGCATGCAGGACTGTCTCTATTTCTTGAAACGTGACAAATTGTATTCCATCAATTTTTTGCTTATTACTAGGGGTACAGAAATGTTTTAAATATACAAATCTTCTTGGTTAATTTATTCCATGTAATTTTAGTTTTATGGGAACAAGCATGAGGTGGAGGCAATGAAGTAATTATTTTACTAATGAACAGTTTCTTAATACTGTTTAAAAAAAAATAATACCAAGACTCTGAAATTTATAAAAGTAGAGATTGATGGAGGAAATTTTTGTCCAAAGAATTTATATTTTACAAACTATTTTTTTTTATGACATTTGATGTTTTGTTTTGTCTATACTGGAATGTGTATGGAAGGCATCAATATGCCCAAACACGTAAAATGGGAATAATCGTTCCCCTGTCAATCTCAAACGAGAATTGATGAAATCTAATCTGTGCTGGTGATCTTTTGTGGTAAGAAGCTGCACTAAAATCACAAAGGCACTCACGAACCCACCAGCCACTCTGGAGAAGAAAGATGGGTAATCTCCTTCCATGTGATTGTCTTTGAAAACTCACTGAAGGGTCAGCTCTGGGACGGTTCTATCTTGACTGTATTCAACAACAAAAATCTATGTGATATAACTGTGTGAAGAGTAAAGCCTTGTTTAAACGCAAATATAATGTACATTAAAATGGATCCATATACTCCAATTTATGGATCTGGAAGGATCTAAACTAAATCTAAGCTAAAATCCATCTAGCGGGACTCTAGATATTCATGGTATCCTCAAGTATGAAGATTCTACAATTCCACATCAAACCTAAGTCCCTAGAGTCACATAAGGGCTCAGATTCCCAGAACCTGGGTCATGATTCCCAGGACACACCTTAAATGTCATCATTTCTGAGGTCTTTTACAATCATAGAATGTGCACCAGACCCATCCCAAGCCTGAAATTGGTGACCTTTGACTTCTTTCTAGCATCTGGGAAACTCACCAACCCATGGTCCCAACCTTTCCCTCATCCTTCTACAATTCATAGATTTTTCATAATTCAGTATCTTTCCTGGTTTTGAGGGGTAAAGTGGGGATTATTAAACCCAGTTAAAAATTTTTTCTCTCTCCATTTGGAAATAAAGTTAAACACACACACATTCACGTATGGCTATATTGAATTGTATTTATTTGGACTATAAATAAATGTGAAATAATTTAAAAGTAATTAATAAACTATATGAAAGAAAAACCAAGTTGTGTGGCATCAGGATTCATTTCTATCCACATAATATTCATCAACATCTCTCAAAGTATATAACCTTTTACACTTTTATCAATCTCACCTAAAATAATGGAAACTGTCTTTTTAAATTGTTCTAAACGTTGGTGTTAGTATCCCAGATAGATCTTTTGTTGGTGACACATTGTGATGGTACCTAAAATCAAAGAAATCAGGTTTTCAACATATTTTTGCTGTCTAGTTATTCCTGTTGTACATACTTTGGACATGTTGTAAGGAGAGACAGGTCTTTAGAGAGGGACATCATGCTGGGTAGAGTGGAGGGACAACGCAGGAGGGGAAGACCCTCTATGAGGTGGATTGATTCAGTGACTGGGGTACTCGGGATGGGTTTGTCAGAGGCAATGATATTGGCACAGGATAGAGCACAGTTTAGGGCTGTTGTACATAGGGTCACTATGAGTCGCAAACGACTCGACGGCACATAACAACAACAACAGTTATTCCTGTTATTAATAAATGATGACTTAAACACTCTTACCCCCATTCTTTTTGCAAAGAAAAAAAAATTTGCCTAATATTCATTCTCTTTGGCTTAGTATGTTACTCTCTTTATTGCCCTCCTGAGGGCTTCTTTGATCTCCTTGTTCCTCAGACTATAGATCAGTGGATTTAACATGGGGATGATGATGACATAAAACACTGACAGGACTTTGTCCTGCTTCACGGACTGACCAGAGTCAGGACACATGTACACAGAGAGAGCTGTGCCAAAAAATAGAGTCACAGCTGTCAGGTGGGAGGCACAGGTATTAAAGGCCTTGGCACTAGCTTTACCCGAAGACATTTTCAAGATGGAAACTGCAATAAAACCATAGGACAAAAGGGTAACAAGAAAAGAACCAAAAACAATGAAAATAGCTGCCAGAAGAAGAATTGTTTGACTGATGAAGGGATCGGAGCAAGACAAGGGAAGAATCTGTGGGATGTCACAGAAGAAATGCTGAATGACATTTGGGCCACAGTAGTGGAGGTTAAAGCAAGAGACTGCTTGAGCGAAGCTACTAGATAAACAAGTCAGGTAGACCCCTGCAACCATCCTCCAACAGAGGCCAGGAGACATGATGGCTGAGTATTGCAGAGGCCTGTCAATGGCCACGTATCGGTCGATGGCCATGGCAGCCAAGAGGCAGCACTCAGAGAGGCCCATCCAGGTGAAAACAAAATATTGAATTGCACAGGCAATAAAGGGAATTGTTTTTTCCTTTTTTAAGAAATCTGAAATTGTCCTGGGGTTAATGGAAGAAGAATAGCATATGTCTATTAATGAGAGAAAACTGAGGAAAAAGTACATAGGGGTGTGCAGGTGAGAGTCCATCCTTATCAGGAGGATAAGGCCTACATTCCAGAGGAGAGTCACAATGTAGATTGCCAGGAATATAGGAAAGAGGGTGAGCTGCAGCTCCTTTTCATCTGAGAGACCCACGAGGACGAACACGGTCACGGAGGAGTGGTTGCCTTTCCAGTCCATGGACCTTCCTGATGCCATTTGCTGAAGAAAAGATGAAAGGAGGACATGACTATATTTCCACGCCCAAAAAAGAAGTAAGTCATCTTGGATCATCAGTGGATTTAACATGGGGATGACGATGATACAGAATACTGACAGGACTTGGTCCTGCTTCACGGACGGACCAGAGTCAGGACACATGTCCACAGAGAGAGCTGGTCAGTCTGTGCCTTCCACATGCAGTTACCAACTTTAACTGAAAAAGTCCCTTGAATATACATCATGGAGTTTCCAATATCATATTTTGCAAATATACCAGGCTTTGGAGTAAGGTCAAATAAGAACACTTTAGTAAAACACAAAGATTTTGCTCAGGCGTGATTCTGCTGGTAACTCCATGCTGGGAGAAGTATTTAAAATGTGTCAGTTCCTGGTCAGAAATGATGTACATTGCAAATAACAATTTGAACATGACATGCACTATGGATTTGACAGGGGAGGAGGGAAGAAAAGATTAATAAACGGGGAAAGCAGGCGAAAAGGAAATAGCAAAATGCACTAAAGTGTGCTTAGACATTATAATAAATTAATTGCATCAATCAATGTTAATTAATGCTTACAAGTTATTGCCTAAAAAACCTTTGCTCAAATAGCATTTTTGGTTTGATAATTTTGGGGGGTGGGTTTGGGGTTTTTTTTAGCAAAAAAAGGAGGAAAGGTTTATTAAGACAATGAGTTATCCTTATTGTAAGGTGGATCATGCTGGGGAGCTCTGGTGGCCTAGTGGCAAGAAGCTGTACTGCAATCCCAAAGGTGGTGGTTGTTGTTGTTATGTGCCGTCGAGTCGCTTGTGACTCATAACGACCCTATGTACAACAGCCCTAAACTCTGCTCTGTCCTGTGCCGGTTGCACTGTCTCTGACACTCCCATCCCAATTACCCCAGTCACTGAATCAATCCACCTCACAGAGGGCCTTCCCCTCCTGCGCTGTCCCTCCACCCTCCCAAGCATGATGTCCTTCTCCAAGGACCAGTCTCTCCTCACAACATGTCCAAAGTATGTTAGACGGAACCTCAGAATCCTTGCCTCCAAGGAGTCACCCGGTTTAACCCTTTCCAGGACAAATGTTTGTTTTCCTAGCACGGTTCAAATCCACCAGATGCTCTGCCCGAGGAGGGACAATTTCCTCCTGTACCAGTCAGATCTGATTTGATGGTACATGCACAATAAAAAAAAATAAAATAAATAAATAAATAAAGGTGGACCATACAAAAGAGTTAATGTTAAAAAAAAAAGGAGAAGGAGCCCTGGAAAGATGGGGTGAAAGCAGACCTTATCACATGCCACCAGCAGAAAAGGAGAATAAGACAAATGTCCCAGAAGTAGTAAATGAGGCAAGGCTTTAATATACTTAATTTTTTTAAAATTTCATTTCCATGCATTAAAAATTTAAAAATTCTAGAATTTGAAAACTAAAATTAACAAAACTAAACAAAATCTTGAGTTCAAATGCTAGTGGATGTTCTTTAACTTCTCTTTGATAACTAGCACCCACTCAGCCTATAACTGGGAGTGTTGATGATTCTGCATCAGCTTTGCTGCTTTCGTAATGTTACATAATGGTGAGAAGAATAGCTTGCTAAAAAAAAAAAAATGGAAATGGATATGATTCAACCAAGTCCTTGACTTTATGAGGGAGCTCCAGTGGCTTTCTGGTAAGGAATTGTGCTAGTAACACAAAGGTACCTGATTCAAATCCACCTGTTGTTTCATGGGGAAAAGATGGGCAGTCTTGTATGCGATTTACTGTCTCTGAAAACCTGCTGGATCGTCAGCTATGGTAGGTTCCAACTTGATCATGCACAACAACAGTGACTTTATGAAGACTTTGAGAAGTGAAACAAGACGAGGCTGGAAGATATATGACACTCCTTTAAGGTGCAGATTTTTCTTTCTTTATATCAAATATTTAGCAGTTATATTGACAAGAGCAGAGATAAATGATGTCATCTTTTATCTTTTAAAGTCTTACTTTTTCCCGCCATTTTTTTAACAAAAATATTTTTTATTCATTCCCTCATGCACACTTTATGCATCAATGATGGAAACTCTTGATGGTCTCCTTGTCAAAGATAACTGCTTACTTCCTTTGCAACTATTTGTATTGGATATGTAGAAACCTTGAATAGCAAAGCTTCATCTCGCATACTTTTGAGCGTGTTGCTAGAAGCAGCTATTCCTTGATGAGGGACGTCATTACTTGGAAAGGTGGAGGGTTTGCAGAAGAGAGGAAGATCCTCAACAATTGACAAAGAGACTGAAGCAATGGACTCAACTGTGCCAGAGATGCTGAGGATGCCCCAGGACAGGACAAGGTTCAGGTCTGTTGTTCGTAGGGTCACAACAAATGCTCAACTTGGATAGTACCTAACAACGCCAGGCGGGAGAATTGGCCTAGAGTGTAGAGTCACTGACGCAAGGGTCATGCTTGAGCAACGAGGGTGATGATTAAGAACTTGGGGCATCATTAACACAATCTTTATTTTTCTTCACATAGATCGATACACATTTTGAAAACGAACAACAGCAAAAAAAGGAATAACACAATTGGCAACAAAATGAATCAAGCTCAAAGAGATTAAGTAATCTTTTAAAAAGAAATAAATATTAAAATTTTTTGTTATATGTTCTATTGTAACTGAAAAGAAGAAATCTGTTTCTATAGCTACCTCTGCAATGCTTGTATCCATGAATGCCTAAGCAGTAAAGTTACCATAACCAGAGAATATGCTACCAAGAAAAAAAACACATTCAATCCACAATATAAGTGTTATTATTAGAGGCACCTTCTAATTCTTACATGTTCTTTTTTCTGTAAACCCAGTTTCTTTAATTTCTGATCACACTAAATTTTTAGTTGCCTTTTATTTGTCAGGGTCTCTTGTACTTTCCCCTTATGTCTTGAGTAAAAAGCTTATCTTGGGGTAGAATTTGTCTTCTATCTTTCTCCTCAGCTCTTCCTCATGCCAATTTTGGCATTATATATTACTTCTTCCAAATTTGACCTATATTTAAAGTTTCTTAGTAGACAATGAGAGATAAATAAAAATTAATATAGGCTTTTTAAAAACATGCAACTTTTCAGAAATCTTAAGAGCGTTAACTTTCTAATGTTTGAGTAGCAGCAAAGTTTATGAGTCTGACTTCTCTCCAAAAACTTAACAGTTTAAATCTATGCAAAAGTATTCAGGAAAATGGCTTAGTATCTGATTCTTATCTTCTAGTTCCCAAAGGTCACAGCCTCAAAAATGAATATTACTATGATATGAAACACCCTTCCAAAAATTATAATGGTCAATACATTTAGAAAACCAAAACGCTGCTCAAATGGTCAGAATAGAACTCATACACTTTGTTGATGAAAGTGTAAAATAACACAACCACCAGTGAGAATGAAGCAATAAATAGAGTACTTCATTATTCAATCATCTCACGACTATGTATATATTGTAGAGATATAGGATGAGTCATGCAGACAGATATACACACTCTCATGTCCATCATATCATTACTCATAATAGCAAAATCATGGAAACAATTTACATGCCCATTAAAAAATGAATAGATATTATGCTTTACAGTGGAAGATTATATAACTATAAAAAGTCAAGATTTCTTGAAAAACTCTTACAACATAGGTGAATCTAGAAGACAGAAAAAATCCAGAATGAATACAAGAACAGAATACTAAGTTCTCTGATGATTACCAGGGCAAGAAAGAGGAACAAAAGAGAATCACCTTCCAGACATTAGACTCTTAGTATTTTGGTAATAGGAAAAACAAGACAAAATATGGTGAACACAACCTGGTCATTGTATATAAAGATTCTAAGAAGTCTCTTTAAGAGAAGAGGAAAAGGGGACATTTTTGGTAAATACTATAAAATACAAACATTGCCAACAGCTGTAAAAGCAACCAGAAGCCACGTGCCTGGTTACATCACATTACATTGCGATAGAGTCTGAACCAACTTACAGTTGACTGTCTAGTGGGCTTCTGAGACTTCCAATTGTACCAAAGGGGATTGCCCTTCATTTTACCATAGAATGATGTGGATTTGAAGAGATGAAGGATAAAGATATGAAGGGTATGTGAAGAATATAGATGGATATAAGAGATGAGAGATATAAGAGATAAAGGATATAGAAGGATGGTGGATTTGAAGAAGCTAGGGCTTCGGGTTAATAGTAAAACTCTCTGTTGACTAGGCCATCAGAACATCCTGTCTGGTAACATACCTACCTGCAAATGCATAAATGTATAGAAAGACGTACGTTAGTAAATGCATATGCATGCACATGGCCTTATGTAAGTTTACATATAAACATGTCTGTATCTAATATTTATTTGTCTGTATATATACCAAGGAAGCAGAAGTGCCATCCACTTCCTAAATGGCATGCCTCTGGAAACTCTATGAACTTTGATAAATATTGATAGTTATAGAAAGGCTTCAGGCCTTTTGTTCATAGAGTCACGATGAGTCGTGCTCAACTCGAAGGCAATCAACAACAATATATTCCAAACCGTGTGGGCAAAATTGCAGATATTTCCAAGACATGTCCAAACAAATCAGAGACTTGTTTCACAGGATTTATAGGATTTGAGGCTTTTGTTTCTGGGGACAAGACAATGAAGTGAATTGTCATAACATAGTTGCCAAAGACAATGTTGTGCACCTTAGTTTGGTAAGAAACATCTGGGGTCTTAAAAGCTTGCAAAATGCTATCTAATATACAAATTTCAGTCCCTCTTAATTTAAAGGAAATACAATGAAGAGTTTTAAAGGTTCAAAGAAGAAACTAATCCATGGGATGAATAACTCACATGGACCAGAACTAAACGGTGCCTGGCCACCACCACTACCATTTCATCAGGGGCAGAGTTAGAAGAGCCCAGATAGGATGGGAAAAAAATGTAAACTAAAACTTGAATTCCAAAAAATGTCTGACCTCCTGGATAAATCAAAAGAGACCAGAACTCCAAAGACGATTCACTGGAAGTAACCTTTGAACATGAACTTGAAGTTCTTTCTGTAAGCCATCTTTCAGGCAAATAATAGTGATGTGCTTGCTTTAGTCACTGACTATATGAGACCTAAAGGTCCGCATTAACTCAAAAGCAAAGGTAGGAGGACAA